AGAGGTAATTCATGCACTGACCACATGGAAACTGCTGGTCACAGAGAAGAGAAAAAGAGAGGGATTCCATTTCGGGCTGCCCTGCCTCACCATGCACTTTTCGCACTGGATCATGAGCCCCTCGTCCTTGTAGAGGCCGCAGATGCAGCGGATGACGTCCTCGTCCTTCTCGTGCCCGTTGTCCTTGTCGCACACCGAGGTCTCGCTGCTGTCGGCCTCGCTGGCCGTCTCGCCCACGATCTCGTCGATCTGCGCGGCCGCCTCGTGCCGGGCGCTGTAGTAGGCCTTGCGCAGCCGGCACACGTCGCGGCCCGTGGGGGACTTCCTGCCGTAGTATTTCTGAGGGGAGAACACACGGTGAGGGTTTCATTTCCCAGCCCTGTGTTTTCAGTGCACCCAGGAGGGGTCTGGGTCTGCCCTGAGCCGCGCCCCGAACACCACACGAGGGGTTGTGGGGTCGAAGGTTGGTGAGCTCAGAGGGCTTTTCTGACCCGGCTGATCCTCTGAAATGTGGGGGGCACCTCTCCATCCCACTCCTTATTCTCACCAGGTGGGTGGAGAAGGGATTGAGAAGGACTTGGGGGTGACGGGTGACCAAAAACTCAGCTTGCGCCATCCCTGTACCCTCACAGCCCAGAAACCAAGGGGATCCTGGGCTGCATCCAAGGCAGAGTGGGCAGCAGGCCCAGGGAGGGGATTCTGCCCCTCTACTCTGCTCTCCTGGACCCCACCTGGAATATTGTGGCCAGTTCTGGTGCCCCCAACATCAGAAGGACATGGAGCTGCTGGAGCAAGCCCAGAGGAAGCCACGAAGTTGATAAGGGGACTGGAGCACCTCCCCTATGGAGACAGGCTGGGAGAGGTGGGAATGTTCAGGCTGGAGAAGAGAAGGTTGTGTGGAGATCTCACAGCACCTTCCAGTGTCTGAAGGGGCTAAAAGAAGGCTGGAGAGGGGCTGTTCCTCAAGAACTGGAGTGACAGGACAAGGGGAATGGCTTCACACTGACAGGGATTAAATTTACGTTGGATCTGTGGAAGAAATTCTTGGCTGTGAGGGTGGGGAGGCCCTGGCCCAGGTTGCCCAGAGAAGCTGTGGCTGCCCCTGGATCCCTGGAAGTGTCCAAGGCCAGGTTGGACGGGGCTTGGAGCAACCTGGGCTAGTGGAAGGTGTCCCTGCCCAGGGCAGGGGGTGGGACTGGATGATCTTTAAGGTCCCTTCCAGCCCAAACCATTTCATGATTCTGTGATTCTCTGACATCTGACACTGAAGAACAAGGTGCTGCTTCCAGAAGGAACTGGAATTTGTTTAGGTGAGCTATTAATGCATGTCCTTGACCTTCTCTCTGCCTGACCTAAGGCAATCAAAGAGCACATGGAGTGCTCTCGAGGGCTCACCAGGAACAGACCAGCACAAGTTCTCCTCCTCCAAGATATTTCTCTTCCTTTGCTACTGTAAGTCAGCAGGAGCACTAAAGGAGGTCACATCCCTGCTCTCAGGCCAGAGGGAGCCTCACCTCTGCATTCCTGAACACCTTCAGCATGTCCCCATCAAAAGCTTCCACAGTTTTGTAGTAGCCAGTCAGGATCTGCTTCTCAATGGTGGCGAGGTCCAAGGGGTCAGAGATCTTCTCATAATAGTCTGCATTTCTACAGAGGGGAACATTGGCACAGTGTCACGTTCATGAGCAATTCCAACCGTGCAAATCCATCAGGGAACGCTCGGGGATGTTCTGGGAAGGCAGCACTTACTTTTTCTTTGGGGGCAGGTTCAGGAGAGGAGCTGCGAGCGCCTGCCTGGAGGAATCTGCAACAGGGACACACAGCTTAGGGACATTCCTGGAGTAAAACTTAAAAATACAAGTAACTAACATTCAAACTGGGTTAGAAAAAGGCTTTTCTGCTAACTGAGCCACGGGAAATTAAAATGCTTCTGCATTTCTAGATGCTGGTGGCTGCAATCAGACCACAGGTATCAAAATGAAGGACAGTGTCCTTGCAACTCTGATTTTTGCTGAAATTTTGAAAAATCAGTTTTAAAGGACAGCAACATATGAGGGTTCTGGTGGTAGAGGAGGGGATTGAGGATAAAACAAAGTGATTATAGGTAAGCAGGGAAAGAAAAAAAAAAAAAGAGTTCTTCAACATCCCATCTTTTTCTAGTATCTTCTATTCTGAGAGTCCGTTGTTCCAGAGGCTGAAAACGTCCCCACAGAGATTTTTTTTTAAGGAGTGCCAGGTTCACCTTTGTAGGCTATGATGCTGTCACATATTTCCTTGAAGATCTGTGCCAGGCGGGCAGCACGAGCCACCTCGATGTTCTCCTCGGCCGCCGCCAAGCGCCGCGTCCGCACCGAGCGGGCCGTCTGCAGGGCTGAGAACTGGGTCATGAACACGTCTGGGGGAGGGCAGAAAAGAGTCACCTCTAAACAAAAAACCCACCAGAGAGCAAGTCACAGCACCTCCACCCGTGGTTATTGAGATTAACGCGTCCCCCGAGCTGCTGGGGCAGCACAAGGCGTCAGCTGCCGTTCCCAAGTCGGCTCTCACTGCTCAGGGCTCTAAACTTCAATTTTAATCAGTTTAATCAGCTGGTTATTGGAATGTTTTATGTTGCTGGAGCAAATAAAACATGTCATTGAGTTCACCCCAAACACTCACTGCCCACCTTCTCCTGCACCTGACAGTGGGGGCCCAATCCTGCCTGGCTGGGAGGATGATGCTCCTCCTTTTTGGAGCAGGGTTAATTTTCCCCTGATAGTTGTATTTTGTCCCATTCCCATTTAGAGCCAAAAAGCTCTAAAATTATGAGGATAGATGACAATTTTCAAAGTCAGCACAACTGTTTCTGGTCTAGGGACACAGAGAGCAGGAAACAGCCCCTCTCTGTCAGGACCCAACCATGGATGGTCACGGAATCACAGTCATGGAATGGCCTGGGTTGGAAGGCACCTCACAGATCCTCTTGTTCCACCCCCTGCCATGGGCAGGGACACCTCCCACTAGCCCAGATTGCTCCAAGCCCCAACCTCCAAGTGTCCAACCTGGCCTTGGACACTTCCAGGGATCCAGGGGCAGCCACAGCTTCTCTGGGCAACCTGTGCCAGTTTATTGCCTACAAAGCAATTTATCTCTAAACCAGGACTATCCAAATTACAGGGTACAAACTACAGAGTAGCTCAGGCTGGAGGCACCGGGGTGGGGTGGGGTTTCTGCTCCAACCCTGCCGCAGATGCAGGAGGCTGTGTGGGGCTGTGTCCAGGAGAGCTGGGGCAGTGTCCAAGGATGGGGAACCCCACCACCCGGGGGCCCATCCCAGCTACATACCTCCTCTCCACTCCTTCCAGTTTGGGAATGCCTCCCTTCANCCACCCTCACAGGGAAGAATTTCTTCCTCATATCACAGAATTATATCCTAGAACCATTTAGAAAAGACCTCCAAGACCAACCTTTGATTGATCACCACCTTATTAACTAGACCATGGCACAGTGTTAAATACCACGCTCTGACAAACCCCTCCTGATGAAACACCAGGTGTGGCACCTCCCACCAGGATTCAGGAGACCCCTGAGTGCCTTTACCCGAGCAGCATCCCCTGCACGTCTCACAACAGGTGTATGGATCTTGGAGTGACCCTACACCGGATTTACACAGAGGTTAAAGCCCACCTGGGTTCCCAGGGCAGCCCCTGCGTGGCCTCACCTGATTTGATGTTGCCGTCATCCCGGCAGATCCCGTTCCAGCGGGTGTACAGGGACGTGCTGTGGATGTTGTCACTGACGTGCTTCACCTCCTCCTGCTTCTGCCGGATCTTCTCCCAGTTTCGTACCAGAAAGACGTGGTGTTTCAGCACAAAATTCCTATGGGAATTAGAAAGGACCACTTTTTACTGAGGAATGAATTCCCTAACGCGGGGGAGAAGCTGGATATTCAGAGGTACACTCTGGGCCTTCTCTGCTCAGGGGGGAGGAACTCCAGCCTGGCTGGGTTAGAGGGGAACTCAGAGCTGCATCCTCAGGCATTTCATGATGCACCAGTGTTTGCTCAACATGCATTTCTGAGGCCAGTCCCCCAGAAAGCCTCCCTTACCTCTCCCTGTTGGACATGGGCTTCATCTGCAGCTGAGGGGTCAGCCTGGTCGGGGCGTTCACACTTTCACTGGGTTCCTCAGGGATGTGGCCCCTCTGGAAAACAGATGGTTCTGATAGACAGGAAAAACTGTGCCAAGAGCTCAGCAAAGCACTCAGAGCAGTCCCTGAGACAGAACCTGCAGCACTGCTCTGCTGCACGTACAGATACACCAGTTTTTGGTCTGATGGCACAGACTGATTTCCCATTAACCTCTACCCACCCAAACTCTGTCTTTAATACTTACCCTCTTCTTTAATTTGTGCTTTGACTTCCTCTTCTCTTTCGACCGTCCAGGCCTTCTGTGGGTGCTCACAGGCTGGTTGCTTTTGCTTGAAAGTCCATTCATGCGCTGACTTTTCCCCCCAATTATCCCTCTGCATTTGTCAAAGCCACATTTGCAGAGTTGCTTTGGGGGGGGGAAGAGAAAAAAATAAATTAAATAAACCCCCAAAGATTTCGATTCTCCCTCAGCATTCCAAAGAACCTCTTCTGCCAAATACAACGCGACAGGTTTTGTTAATGGACCTTCAGTTTTACAGAACTGTTGGCCCTGGGTGGCACCTTTTTTAAGGTCTCCCCGTGGGATCTTTACCTGCTTTTCAACGTTAAAGGAATGGAAGTTGTAGTCGTAGGTCAGCTCAGTCCCAGCAGGCATGTCCTTGAGTGCATAGAGCCCGATCCGATAGACACCGTTCACGGACCTGCAGGGGAAACACCAGCAAAGATTCCCCAGGATTACACCTGAAATCCTCTCTGTCCACACCGTGGGAGTGTCAGAGACAGGAAGCAACACTTCTGCTGCACCCTGGGTCCTGCCTGTTCTTCACCTGTACAGTTCTCTCATTTATCTGTTACAATAAACCCTGAAGGCCAAAAAGTGAACACAACATTTAGAGAGAGGAGGAAGTTGTGCTTTCAGGAAAAGCTACAAACTGTCCTGGCTATCACAAGAAATCAGCTTGTCCACTGCCAGCACTCAGG